AAAAAAAAAAAAAAAAAAAAATAATAATAATATCTCTATTAATGATAAAAAACTTACTTCATATACCGTAATGCCACCGCTTGTCATACAATGGCGTTCTCCTCACAACCCATCAGATATCTCTCCTGGTTCAAGAGCTTTGGATTTTTATTTTCTGAAGACTTCCGCTTTACATTTTCTTGGGCTTCTTAGAGAATCAAATACTACCCTTGGATTTAATCATATATACGCTATTAATCAACCCGATCGGAAAGATAGACGTGAGAAGTTGGATACCCTATCGACTAGACTATTTTTTGATTTAGAAATTTTCGATGCCGTTTCTGAAAATGATAATGAAAAGCTTAATGAATTTAGTCCGAAGAGCAAACTGAAGCCATCTGAAAAGGCAGTTTATATTGATCATTATACCATTTATAAATCAATTATTGATAATAATTATGGTAGTGCATTAATTTTAGAAGATGATATAGATATTGAGCTTAACATCTCACCGATTATGACAGATGTACATCAAAGTTTACCCTCCGATTGGGAAATGTTATATCTTGGACACTGTAACAATCTAGAAGGAAAATCTAGCGAACCTATAATAGTGAGCAATAGGGGTAATAATAGTTCATCTTATAAAATATTTAAATCTGAGAAACCATATTGTACATATGCTTATGCGGTTTCACGAGCTGGTGCCCTTAAGCTATTAGAAACAGTTGGTAAACCGACAAAACTTCCACTTGACCAAGAGCTTATTAATATGATACAGAAAGGAACAATCAAATCATATACTTTAATACCACCGATTATCGTACATTGGCATTTTCCTAATGAATCACCCAAAGATAAATCTTCAAATGACCAAACTTCTGATTTTTATACTTTGAAAAACTCTACTATAAAATTTATAGGCTAAATTACAAATACTGACCTAATAATTCAATATCATATTAGATTTTTTTCATTTATACTAATTTTTTTTTTTTGTTTTCATAATCGTTGTAATACAAATAATTCATGTATTTATATTAGTTTCAAATAAAAACCATTGGGATAAGTAAATAAATTTATAGTATAAAAAAAAAATAATAAAATTTATGTATAGTAAAGAAATAAAACAGAAAAAAAACTTTTTTGTGTCGTTAGAAACACGACATTAGTTAGGTAATATAATTTATTAAATAGGAAAGTATTTAGATTCTAAAGTGAATACGAAGCTTCATACGCTATTGCACTAAAGCATTTATGATTTTACGAATTAATAATTACGCCTGTACGTAGTTCGTTATCGTAAGCTTCGACTATAATTGGATTTATAAACGAATCTGCATTCATGAAACAAATTTACGCAAATAAGTAATTCGAACAAAGCTATAGAGATTGTAGAGTTCTAACTAATATTCTAAAATATGCTCATGAGTTAAATACCAGTCTGTCAAATACTGCACACTTTCGTTATAGTAAACTCGCGATATAGTAAAGAATCTTGAATTACGGAATTATTAAATTTTAACATATTAGAGATGTGCGAAGCAGCATAATTCAGCATGCGATATTATGCAATCATGGTGTTCTACCAAAATCAAGAAGCCAGATCCATGCCCAACTTTTCTTATCTTTAGACAGAAGTTTACTATTTTATAGTATTTTCAAACCTCATATTAGTTAGCCTGCTTTATATAACTGATGCTACATATCACTTAGTATTACATATGATTTATTGTCCGAAGCGTAGCGGAGGACTCACATGTCTATGTCCGTTGATAA